GGCTGCGAGGGAGACTACCCCTGCACTGATGTGTTGATGAATTGTTACATTTCAAGATTTACTGTATTTTGCTTTATTTATCCCACTGTTCCCAAAAAATCCGTGATCATTATAGCAAATAAATTGATCTATAATTTTTTATCGTAATTTGCTGACTTTTAGAGACTGAATTTCACTTTCACACCATTTGAGTTGATTTAAATGCTGACTGGGCTTTCTGAGGGGTTTACCGACTACATCAGTATCACTACATCATACTTTGTTACCCAAACGTTACACACTACTTGCAATAGTGGAACCATAGTGGGACTGAAATTCTGACCAGAAGTAGTTGTTGCAATAGCATGTAACATATGAGCTGTACACATACACGAAACGTGTGTCATTTCTGCTTCTTATTAGCACATGATCACCTTTTTGGAACCTTCACAAAGATACAAGGCTTACGATCTTAACAGCTTTCGCACAACCGAACAGAAAGACGGTCAAAATACATCTTCATATCTTGCTGGAGCACTCGTAATACATGGACTTTTCTCTGCTCGTCAACCACCTACACGTGGTTTAAAGATTCAAATCGATCCTTAAATGTTAAACTAACAAAGACTGAATAGAAAGCATTACCTTGCCGACTTTCATATCGTGAGAGACTAGGGCGAACTTTGCCAACGCGGGACAAAATTGCCGAGAAAGTTGAAAGATATTCTGTGTATTTAAGAGCGGCAAGTTTCGTATCAGAAGAAAACCTATGTTTGCAGACAGGAATACCTCCAAGAAAGTAGATTCAAAGGTGCCAGATAGTCTAGCAGTGAAATTGAAGGACGCTAATTTAGCGGAATGGAACGTAGGAGATTAAAAATATGTGTTGACAGAGATGAAACTACATTGGAGAAGGACCACGGTTTTTCTCTAACTGAACTAAGTTGAAATTTACCATAGTTTAATACGTGTGTCTGACTCTTACAAAGACACACGGGTCTATGACAAGAAAACACTGATAAATACCGACTTCCTCTATACTTCAATTTAATCCTTTGATATTCCCTCACAGAACAATTCAACAAATACTTCTTCTCATGTTGTGTAACTTATTTAATCTTACCCTCTTCATGTTAAGCTTACATTCTTTGTAACTCTTCTAACCTTCATCAAGAGGAATTTGGTATGCTTGGACGAAATAATTTATACGCTCGTAAACAAATTCCTCCAGTTTTCTGCCCTTTCTTCTGAGACGTTTCAGAGCAGCCTCTGGTAGTTTACTGGACTCTCGATCACGTCTAAATATACGGTTGTGTTTACACGTAAACATAATATGAGATGGCTCGTTTGATATAGCAGGTTTCGCTTGATATTCCTCGAATATTAGAAGGTTCACTCGCAAAGGATCGCTCGTAAATTGATCTCTCGAAAAGCTCGCCGACCGACCCGTTTCCTAAACGCTCCACAAGTTTTAGTGTGGGTCTAGCGAAAACGGTGTTTGAGTTTTTAGGTATATTGAGCGTAATAGCCATCAAATTTATTACGCATACATCAAGTAATCAATTTTCCACAAAGGCAGCCTTGAAACTTTGAAACCATGCGCTCTAAAGTTCATTCTACGCATGCGCTCCCACTTCACGCATGCGTTGTAGTGGAAATGCGTTTTGTGACTGAACGCAAAGAATCAAAAAAATTAAAATAAAAAAAACAAAAACCCAAGCCGAATTTATACTTTGGTCGTTTCCTTCGGAAAGCCCGAGTAAAAAAAACACAGCTGAATCTATACTTAATCTGTACCTCGGGCGTTTCCTTCGGAAAGCCGGAGTAATAAGCAATACATCCGATGCCAGCTCACACTCGAGGTTGGAAGGCATGATCTTGTTGACTACAAGCCGTCAATCAAATCAAGATGCGGTACGGAGAAGTAACCAAAAGAGACTGGGGTGGAGATTGGAAAGAAAGGTTAGACTCATTGATCGCGGGCTCTCAGAAACCTGACGAAATATAATTTAAGAGTTCCTTAAAGCTTGCTTAGTTGAGACGTTTTGGCCAGTTGATGCATATCCTTATAAGGAGGCAATGGCTCAGTATAATAAAATCAGATCTCTTACTCTTCCCTTTATGAATTTTTTGCGAGAACAAGCAAGGTTAGAATGGCTTTATGCGATTCCTTCGAAACTGGAAACGGTATGTGAGTCCTTTGAAGTTCCTGACCGTTGAGCGTTCAGCTCCCTAGACAAAAGCAAACCACGACAACAGAAAGAGTTATGTTCGCATGAACTAAAGTCGTGAAACAGCTACGTTTGTGAAAACTCATTCTGTTGTCTGTTATCGAATATGGCGTGCTGTCGTTCGGTTGCGCCGCTGCTCTAATCTGTATTTCGCCTTGTACAATACATGAGATCAATAATAAGCTTCAACATAACCGAAAGACCAGCCAAAAGCAAGTCATTCTTGCTTGCCTCTCAGGTGGAAACTACGATTTCGTAAGTGGCTTAGCCGACCAGCGCAACGAGGCAAATTCTTCAAGAGGAAAGTGTTATACTAAGCCAACTCATCCGCCTTTTACTAATCTGTACTGCTGCTCACTACTCTCTGCTCGCTGCCCAGACCCAAGGTCGGAGGAAGAAAAAAACTCCACCAGAAAAGCTTGCGTTAATCTAACAAAGAACGATCGGTAAAAACATAAAGCGACCTTTGATCTGTTGCTGAAGAGCTGTTGTGTCATTTACATAGCCAGAAAATCGCATAGTGTTAAGCTAAATTCTAAAAGTTGTACGTTTTGACATAGAATCGTCGATCAAACAACACACCCGGACATATCATAGTTTAACCATAATATTTACTGGGCCATTGTCGCTAGGCCTCACTTGAAGTAATAACAAAGTCTTATTTCACTTTGTAGACGTAATTCGCATTGCTTCAGAGAATCAGGATGTTGTCGACAGAAACCTTATTCCGTCACTCTCAAGACTTTGATATCCATTATTTTA